CTCTGCTGTGGCAGGATTCAAACCTGAGCCTCCAAAATATTCTCTGGGTGTCTGGATTAATACTCCAGCGATAATACCACTAAAGCCACCGCCACATCTTTGACCTGTCCCAGAGTATACAACATTTACAGGGCTGTGTCAGTTGAGTTTCTAGTCAATAGTGATCCTAGAGGTGTTAATGTTGATTATACCATTAAATGTTAAAGCTGTCAGACTCAAACTGGGGTAGCCAATGCCTGACTTTTGTAAGGAATTAATATTACTTGTCATTCATTGGTACAGGTTTGGAAGTTGCTCAGGTCTTGCTACACGTGGGTACACACTACCCTATCAGGAGAAATTATGATGAAAACTGAACACTGTACTACCAGCACAAATCTCACTTTGGCCTTAAGATGGAGGGAAGAACATTCAACTGAAGAGGATTTGTTGAGAAATGAAATGCAGCTAATAGCTATACACATACAATCATTTTCTGGGAATGTTTTAACTTAAAAGGGAGTAACTACTTACAGTCTTTAAGGCATCACTTTCCCATGCTCAGTGTTTAAACCTAGAGATCTGTCCTCTTGCACATTCCCAAATTCTTTCGAATGCACAAACTTCCAGAGAACTGATTTAGAACCAACTGGAATTTTTCACTCCACAAATAAGTTAGCAACCACTGATTACACAAAACTGAAATTGTACCCAAACTTATTCAGAGTTCAGGTGCTGCCACAACAAATTGGGCAATTGAGCTGAACCCCACCTATTTTTATGAAATTATTTCCAGAAAGCTTAGAAAGGTGAGAAAATTTAGATCAAAACACTACACATTCACTGAAGATCAGATTCGACCAGACATAACAAATTTGCCAGAAGCTTAACTTAGGATAAAGTTCATAAGTAAATGTTTCAAATATTACTGCACTATAAACTGAGAAAGATAAAATCGAGCTTTACCCCAAGCTGGTAAGAATTATTTTCTAATTCTACAAAGAGCAAACTCACTTAAACAAAAACCAAACTTTTTTTTATCTTAGAATCTCCTGTGTCAGCAGAATGCTGGAGAAACCCAAAAAGTCTGGTAGCTTCTGGGGAGAGAGAAACAGGGCGATTGTTGAGTCCAAAAATACACAACTTTGGAACTGAAGAGCAGTGCAAATGTCATGGGTTTTAATGTGATGAGTTATAAAGGAGGAGGTGCAAATGGAACAGATCACAGAAAGGTCAGAGAGCAAAGAAGATTTGAGATCAAAGTTGTCATATAACAAGGCAAAGGAACGGGTTCTACAGAAGTTACAAAGCATAGATCCAGACTGGTGTTAATAACAAAATAAAAGGTCAGATCTGAATGGAAATAAAAGCATGAAAGCAATATCCAGACATGGTGGGGGGGGAAAGCAAAAGGGAGAACTAAGTTCAACAACGTCAAACCATTAACTCCAAGTTAAGTCCAAAAGAGTACAAAGCACCTAAGTAGAAAATGCGCTGCTGTTGGTCCATCTTGCAGGAATGAAAATCTCTTTCTTACTCGATAATTCTAGATCGCTCACGTTTCATGGTAACTTCACTGGCTGAACAGACTTTTGAAGCTTCACTTGAACTGGCACAGGATTACATTTGTGCTTCTCAGTAGTGATTCATCTGTCTACTGTTATGAATACTTCATATTTAATCATTTTTATGGACTCAAATTTGAAACATCATGGAAATTTTTTAAATGATGAATGAAAGGACAGTGGAACATTTTTTAACAAGGCATCACTTGCAAGTCACGAGTCTTGTCAAAGCTGTTTATTTACTGCAGACCCCCAGTTTGAGTTTACAACCATTAGGTTGCAGCTTCTGCTTTGAAAATAGTTTGAATTTGTCAGCAGGGGCTAATCTGGGGAAGGAAAAGAGATTCCCAGCCCAGCTCTCGTATTTCTGAAAAACCTCATGTGTGGGTCCTATATGGCATCAGGAGTCCTGGTCCAGTTTAAATCATCCTAAGCAGCATTCAGAAAAATTCTAACTGTTTCCTGAGCATGCTACATCTGCCAAGATCCCAGAGTTACTGCCTATTTTTGGTGACATCCATGTATACATGGGATTCATTTCTTTTTAATTCCATTACCTAATGCAAGTGTTTTGTTGGTTTGTACTTCAGGTTATTTGGAGGGGTAAACACTTACACTTACATCTTACAAACTAAGTGTGTTAAATTAATTTCACATCTTCAATGACATATTTGTTTTGTAATAAATCAATAATTGTGTTTATTAAAAGAATCCTGATTGATGAATCTTTTTATGTTAAATTTAATATAGAAAAAGCATATGGTTGATCATACTGGAGATTAGGTTACACAATTAAATTTATGGTGAACTGTGGAGCAGTAGGACTAGAGGCAAATAGTGCAAACCTTCCAATTCAACAAGCTCCAAAAGAAACTCCTCTATCTCCTTCATGGGTCTGTGCGATAGACGACTTTAATTCTTTATCTTCAAGAAAGGACCCATTTTCCTCGAAAGAAGTAATTAGGTTTTGAGGAACACTGCCCCTTGAATCCAAAGTTACTGGCATTCTGAAGGTTCAGATTCAAGCAAATGAGCAACTTGTGTACTAATTTCCTTCTATGAAAGAGGAAACCACTGTCTAGGATGCCCTCTAGTGGCTGGTCACCAACTTCAGTGTCTTCTTTTGCTATGTTTCTGTTTAGAGAAAAATGGAGCATCTGCTCCTCACCTTACATTCTAGGACTGAAATGCCTTTGATGTCTGCTAACCAAGGAATGTCTAAAGCTAGTCAAGCAACTCCTCTAAAAGTGAACTGTAATGTTTAGGAATCACATACAGGGACTGCATCATCTATTTTCCAGGGATCCAAGTGCTTCAGCCCCTGCTCTAATTACCATACTTCCCAAACCTTAGTTTAGTTAAGACAGGTTACAAAGTCCTGGCCTCAATCAAGAGTAGCATCCAAAATTATCAGTGTCTTTTTTTTCCCTTTTCTTATAAGGAACGTGGAGTCACTGGCAAGGCTAGGCCATCTGAAGGTGGCAGGGCAGGTGGGGAGAGCAGTTAGTAAAGACTACAGTGTTCTTGCCTTCATTTAAAGGACATACAGTACAAGAGCAACTGATGTTGAATTTGTACAAGACATTTGTTAGGCCTCAGATGGAGTATTATGTACAGTTATGGATGCCAAATTATAAGAAAGATGCAAATACATTGGAATGAGTGCAAAATCAATTTAGTAGAATGGTTCCAGATATAATAAATTACAGGTTTGAGGACAGATTGAAGGACTCAGGAATGTTCTCCCTGGAGAGAAGATGACTAAGATAGGACCTGATTGAGGTTTTCAAAATCACAAGCTGAATGGGCAATATTCAAAAAGGGAGGTAGAGAGAAAATTGGGAATTATAGACCGGTGAGCCTAACATCAATAGTGGGGAGAATTCTCAAATCCATTTTCAAGGAATTTAAAACAGAGTATTTAGAAAGCAGTGGCAGGATCAGACACAGTCAGCATGGATTTATGAAGGAGAAATCATGCTTGATAAATCTGTTGGACTTCTATGAAGATGTAACTAGTAGAGTTGACAAGGGAGCCAGTCGATATAATATATTTGGACTTTCAGAAAGCATTTGACAAAGTCCCACACAAGTGATTATTGTGCAAGATTAAAGTGCATGGGATTGGGGGAAGTGTATTCAGATGGATAGGAAACTCGTTGGCAGAGAGGAAACAAAGAGTAGGAGTTAATGGGTCCTTTTCAAATTGGCAGGCAGTAACTAGAGGGGTGCCACAGGGATCGGTGCTAGGACCACAGCTATTCACAATATACATTAATGATTTGGATAAGAGAACAAAGTGTAATATCTTCAAGTTTGCAGATAATACCAAGTTGGTTGGGAGGGTGAACTGTGACAAGGATGCAGAGATCCTTCAGCGCGATCTCAACAGGTTGGGTGAGTAAGCAAATCAATGGCAAATGCAGTGTAATTTGGATAAATGTGAGGTTATTCACTTTGGAAGCAAAAACAAGAAGGCAGAATATTACCTGAATGGCTGTAAATTGGGAAAAGGGAGTGTGCAGTGGGACCTGGGTGGTCTTGTACACCAGTCACTGAAGGTAAGCATGCAGATGCAACAGCTGGTAAAGAAGGCAAATGGTATGTTGGCCTTCATTGCACGAGGTCACGAGTACAGCAGCCAGGATGTGTTGTTGCAGTTATACAGGTCCTTGATGAGACCACACCTAGAATAATGTGTGCTGTTTTGGTCTCTTTTTCTGAGGAAGGATGCTGTTGCTCTCAAGGGAGTGCAGCGAAGGTTTACCAAGCTGATTCTGGGGATGGCAGGCCTTATCTATGAAGAGAGATTGACTAGGTTGGGATTGTTTTTGCTAGAGTTCAGATGAATGAAGGGGGATCTCATAGAGACTTATAAAATTCTAACAGGGCTGGACAGGATAGATGCACGGAGGATGTTCCCAATGGTGGATGTGTCCAGAACTAGGGGTCACAGTATGAGGATTCGGGGTAGACCATTTAGGACGGAGATGAGGAGACATTTCTTCACCCAAAGAGTGGTGAGCCAGTGGAATTCATTACAACAGGAAGTAATTAATGCCAGAACATTGAATGTATTCAAGAGGCAACTAGATATAGCACTTGGGGCGAATGGGATCAAAGATTATGGGGAGGAAGCAGGATTAGGAAATTGAGTTGGATGATCAGCCATGATCATGAAAAATGGTGGAGTAGGCTCGAAGGGCTGAATAGCTTCCTCCTGCTCCTATCTTCTATGTATCTATGTAGTAGATACGGTGAAGCTGTTTCTGCTTGTGAAAGAAAAATGAACAAGAGTTATAGATTTAAAGTGATGTGCAAAGAAACGTTTCTTATGTAAATTAATAAGTGGAACTTGGTGTCTAATGATGACTAAGAAACAATTATTGATTGTCAGAAAAACCCACTATTTGCCAAACTCCCTCCATTTTGTCACCAGATTTCAAGACTACGTACCCTCTAACCAAGTCCACAATATGTACATTCGATGTACAAAAGTGGACCAGCATTGATCCTGAGTGCACCAGTTCCAAAACTTCTCTAGACCAGGTAACATCCTTATACTCTAACATAAAATAAAACAAAGAATTGCAGATGCTGGAAATCTGAAACAAAACAGAAATAGCTGAAGAAACTCAGCAGATCTGGCTGTATCTGTGGATAGAAAACAAAGTTAATGTTTCAAGTCCAGTGATCCTTCTGCTAGTCCATCAATGAACTTTCTATCCATGGTGGATTTTTCTAATAAAGCTTTTATAATTAAAGGCAGTAGATAAATGCAAGTTGCTATTATGAAACATCTTATTAAATATTTTCTGTGTCATTTCAGATCCAGGCCAGATAGTGAGACAGAAAACAAGACAACTTTCTTTCTTTATGGACAGTTTATTAATTAATCTTACAGCTCCTTCCAGTCATCTGACCTTGAGATCTAGCCAGTGAGTTAGTTAACTCCAATCACGTACATGCAATATTAACAAATTCTAAACAAAAATAGAAATTGCTGAAAAAGCTCAGCAGGTCTGGCAGCATTTGTGGAGAGAAATCAGGGTTAATGTTTTGGGTCAAGTCCTGAGAAAGGGTCACTCAACCTGAAACATTAACTCTGATTTCTCTCCATAGATGCTGCCAGACCTGCTGAGATTTTCAAGCAATTTCTATTTTTGTTTCTGATTTACAGCATCTGCAGTCTTTTCAGTTTTTTTAACAAATTCTACTCTTCTCTTTAAATAAAAACTTGAAAGGCATACAAACGATCCTTGAACTAACATTTCATTTCTTTTTAACCGTATAATCAACATTCCCTCTAAGCTGCATGGATGCACATGCAGCTGCCCCTATGTAAAGCCGATATGGATCACAGCATTGACTTCTAGTTCCAGAAGTCATTGCCACACCCAGAGTTTGGAAATCCACACAGAAGAAAAAATATAGAGGGAATGCTGCTTATAATACAACTTGTCTCAATTTGAAAGCAAGCATTGAAGCAGGAACCTCCAATTATAATTTTTTTTGCCATTTTGGATCTAGACTGCTAAATTCCATTATATATTCTTTAGAATACCTGGTCTCTTTTCTAAATTTATCAAGTTCTGTCCATGCCTCATATGCATTTAACAGGTCACCTTTCTTATAATTTTGTCCATTCTTTTTAACAGAATTTCCAAACCATCCTCTGTTTCCAACTGTTGAGTACCTAGCTCCAAAAATACTTTACATCTGGTAATGCTTCTAGTGTGCAGAGACAGTGCAAGGGTCATACATTGCTTTCTTCTAGGTGAAGATGTAACCCATGTTACAGAGCCACTTCACTTTCCGTCCACCATAAGATTCACCTTGATAAGATATCAATGGGAAGTCATGTACCAAACTTTTAACAATTAGTTTTAGCCATTCTTCTCCAGAGTAACTCAAATTATAATCTTCTGTCTGAAAATAATTCCCAATTTCCAATCTTCGCCTTTAGGCAATCATCCACTACTGCCAATACCACTTCAGCTCCAAGCCAGTCAGTCAGACAGAAATCAAATATCTTTCATTTTCGAAATCATGCTTAGACGTATTATGACACACATCTGCGGCAATCACATGGTATGACTTGAGCTTAGAACTTCTGCCCCAGAGGTATGGACGTGACCACTATGTCACAAGACCACCAAGACATTTTTTGTAGATTGAGTTTATTAGCTACTAAATCTTACAATTCCTTCGAATCACCAGTATCATCTGTACCTCCTATTTATATCTGCCCAAACAATTAAATAATTAATTAACTCCAATCACCTGAACCACTATTAACATTCTGAAAACTATGTATGCTATATCTACTGCACTGCCTTTATCTAGAGTCATAGAGTCATACAGCACAGAAACAGCACCTTCGGCCCAACTCGTCCATGCCAACCAGGTTTCTTAAACTGAACTAGTCCCATCTGCCTGCATTTGGCCCATGTACCTCTCAATCTTTCCTATCCACATACCCATCCAAACGTCTTTGAAATATTGAAACCGTACCTATCTCTATCACTTTGTCTGGCAGCTTCTTCCATATATGCACCAACCTTTGTATGCAAAAGTTTCCCCTTAGATCCCTTTTAAATTTTCCCCCTCTCACCTTAAACCTATGCCCTCTAGTTCTGAACTCCCCTACTCTGTGGAAAAGACTTTGGCTAGTCACCCTTATATATGCCCCTCATGATTTTATAAATCCCTATAAGTTCATTCCTCAATCTCTTACACTCCAGGGGAAAAAGTCTGAGCCTATCCAACCTCTCCTTATAACTCAAACCTTCCAGTATCAGTATAACATCCTTGTAAATCTTTTTTGCAATCTTTCCAGTTTAATAACACTCTTTCTGTAGCACAGCAACCAGAATTGCATGCAGCACTCCAAACGCAGCCTTACCATTGTCCTGCACGGCCATAACATGCATCCCAACTCTTGTACACAATGCTCTGACCAAAGAAGGCAAGCGTGCCAAAAGCCTTTTTCACCACCCTGTCTACCTGTGATGCCATTTTCAAGGAACTATGTACCTGCAGCCCTAGGTCTCTCTGTTTGACAACACTCCCCAAGGCCCTACCATTAACTGTGTAAGTCCTACACTGGATTGTTTTATCAAAATTCAGCAACTCGCATTTATCTGAATTAAACTCCACCTGAAATTCCTCAGCCCATTAGCCCAGTTGATCAAGATCCCGTTCTACTCTTAGGTAACCTTCATCACTGTCCACTAAAGTACCAATTTTGGTGTCATCTGCAAACTTACTAACCGTGTCTCCTATATTCTCATCCAAATCTTTCATTTAACTGATGAACAACAATGGACCCAGCACTCATTCTTGAGGCACACCACTGGTCACAGGTCTCCAATCTGAATAACTCTCTACTGACTGTCTCCTACCATCACCCATGCTTTCCCTGGCTAGTCTGTCCCTTAAGAAATTTCACATTATTTCTCCATAACGTTATTATCCATAACATCCGTAGCAAGTGTTGGCTACTCAAAGAACTCTGGCTCAGAGTTGATGAGCAGCAGCCTGAGCTTCTCCCCCTCTGACACATCTGGGAAGGGGAAGAGTTACCTGGATGTTGTGTTTCAGGAGGCACTCACACCCTGTGGGTTAAGTACTTCAAATTTGGCCAGTGATCAGGGGACAGGAGTGTGAACTACAAAGTGAAGCAGGGGTAAAGGATCCCGAATTTAGCTTTAGAGGAGCCACAGCCCTTGACCTTGTCCAACAGGTATAAGGTATTTTCTCCCTGTGTGGATGAGAAAAGAATTTTAGGGAAGTTGAGCAAATTGACCACTGAACCTTGGTACAGGAAGTCTTTCAAGGTGGGGGTAGCAAAAAGAAATTTGGCAGTAGTAGGGGATTCTATCATTAGGAGTACAGATAGCATCCTTTGTAAGCAGGATCAAAAATCCCCCATGCAGTATTGCCTGCCTGGTGCAAAGGCAAGGGATATCTCAAACCAGCTTGAAAGGATATTGTATGGAAGAGGAGGATCCAGTTGTGTGGTCCATGTTGGGGCCAACAACACAGGTAAGAGATCCTGTTTGGAGAACATCAGGAATTAGGCAGAAAATTAAATAACAAGGCCTCAAAGGTTATAATCTCTGAATTCTTACTTAAGCCAAGTGCAAATTAGCATAAGAAAAGTAGAGAAGTAAACACATGGTTAAAGGAGTGGTGTCAGGACAGGGATATTCCATTTTGTGGAGCGTTAGCTTCAGTATTGGGACAGGAAGCCACTATACCACTGAGACAGGCTGCACTTGTGCCAATCTGGGACCAATGTCCAAGCAAAAAGGCTAAATAGGGTCATCACAAGAACTTTAAACTAGAAAACTGGCGAGGTGATATGCTCAGGGAAAGTCAATATAGTTTCAAAATCAAGTAACATGATATAGAGCTAAGAAACACAGTCAGGAATCCTGCTTCAGGTGCAGCAAGGAATGGCAAAACTACGAGAATTATGTTAATTAAACTGGAAAAGAGAAATAATAAACAGATGAATAAAGCATCAGTGCTGAGGGACAGGTGTATGGCTCAAATAACAGTTCTATATTCAAATGCATGGAGTGTAAGGAATAACTTTAATGACTTGCAGCATAAATTCAAATTAGAGGTTATGATACAGTAGCCATTACTGAGACTTGGCTGCAGGATGATACCAATTTAGTATCTGAGGACTGAGGAACAGCAAAGGATCTAAACCTGTAATGAGTGTTGTGTACAGATCCCCTGGTAGTAGTTCGGAGGTGCTAGATTTTTGTTTTATTCATTCATGAGATGAGGGTTTCACTGGCAATCAAGGTCAGTCAACCACATTGCCGTGGGTCTGGAGACCA